TTGAGGACTGCAAACAATGCCATTTTCAAAAGGATAGCTCTAAAGCATCTGGAGATATAGTTTGCTCTTTGAGAACTCAGAACTGCAGGGATATCAGAATCTCTCTTCTCCTCGGACAATGATCCTTGTCTGGTAGCCAAGAACAGGAAATGGGTTTCCTTGTGTTGCACTGTCTAGCTTATTTAAAATAATTTTAACTTGCAGAGTAGAAAGTGCATGGACCCAACAATGAGACTGACTCTAAAACAGATAATAATTTTCCTAACATATAATTAGTTTAACTGTTAAATAAAATTATAAATGTAAATACCTAAAGCACCTGGAGTTACTATGTTCAATACTGAGTTAGTGCTCAATATGTTTGTTCAGTTAACATGACTGAATAGGGGGTGAGTGTGGCTGCCTGGATGTCTGTTTATGTGAAAATCATGTGATTATGTGAAGAAAAGAACTTGTGCCTTTTTCTACGGAACTCCCCATTAAATATCTTACATGATTTTATCACAAAAAGCAGGTGTATAAGTCTGTATCTGATATGATGGTAAGTAATAAGTGTACGATGACACTACTACCCATTATAATTTGATTTGGATTTGGCTATGTTGTAGGCGAAGCAAGACTTTTTCAAATATAATAGTGTTATATCTCTTAGTTCTTTACCATAGACCAGTGTGCATATTGGAAAACACTCAGGAATTTGGGAAGGGAACACAATAGACTATGGTGGGGAAGTATGGGTGTGGTAGTGGTGAGTGTGGTATAGTAACAGCACCTGAAGGGGAAGATCCTATATTTCTAAAACACAAACAACAACATAAACTAATGTTCAATTAAAAAATAATTACCATAAAGCAATTTGTCTATGGGATATATGGTTTTGGACTTAACAAGCTTAATAAAGTTATCATTAGGCTCCAAATGCAAGATAGGTTTTACTTTAAAGAGGCATTTATTTATAGATTTGTGAGATTTTCATAGGACTTTCTTTATCCAAATTATTTAAAAGTTGGTTGATAAGTTAGTAGTAAAGCATAGAAAAGATTCTTTGTGTCTTGGTTTTAAGTGCATGCTGTTTTTTGGGAATAAAGTCTGAAATTCTTAATGTGGCCTGTTAGACCCTATCATCTGTTACCTATTCACACGTCACTATGTTCCTCGACAGTCCTGCCACAACGACTTTTTAAACTACCTTTTTTTATCTCCTTTAACCTAGAACACTAATAATACAGCTCTTTATTCTTTCTGGGTTGTTCTTTATCAATTCTTCCACCTGGACAATTCTTACTTAAAACACTACTTTAGAGAAAATATTTTGATCCTCTAGGCTATGTTAAATACATTTTTTTCTCTAGACTCTTGAAAAATCTTTTTCTCAGTTATCTCAATTATCCTAACCATAATTCGTAGTTATTTTCTACCCATGGATTTGATATCAGTTTCTCTTTCTACCTCCAGTAAGGAAAGGTCAAAAATTTCTGAGATGCTTTTTGTTATACCTCCAGTGTTTAAGCACAGTGTTTAACTAATAGTAAGCATTTAGTTGAGCTCTGTCATTGAATGAATTCACGTATGCTGGAAATGTGCTTGAAAGGTACTTGGGGTGGTTCATCATATATCCATTTCTACTTTAAATGATAACTTTAGAATGAAAACTGGAGTTCTTTTAAGTCCAGTACTATCTCGTGTCATGATTTTGAGCATGTTACTTCCATTCTTTAGACCCAAGCTCATCAGTGTATTGATGAGGTCAGATTAGACTAAATGATTTGGTAAGACAGCTTTAGTTCTAAGTGCTAAGGATATCAGTTTTCAGATTACCAATTTTAATGCTTGCTATTTTATTAACTGAACTAATAATAAATGTGGAATATTTTTAGCCATAAAATAGTAAAAGCATTTCTTAAAGTACTCCTATAAAACATGAGTGATTTTATAATTTTGCAAAATATTTAGCTAGGTTCATTTTTACACATGTGCAGTGCATGCCTCCTATATCTTTACAGAGAAAAACATCAATATTCCAATCACTGCTCATTTTTCAAAATTGAAATGGAAAAAAATCTATATTTACAAAAAATTTTCATGAACATTTGAGTGTTTATGGGATTTTGGCTAAGTCTGGTATAAACTTTACTATATTTTTTATTTTTTTTAAACCTCAACTGTGTTTGGAAATGAATATTCATTATCATTGTGACTATGAACTATAATATTGAAACCCTATGTGGAACAACATCTTTGTAAATCCTTACCTAATAGTTAATCAGTTTAACTGTTTCCTCCCCAAATCAGCAGTTTGAAAAGGACTTTATAAAATGATTTCAAAACTATTTATTTAAATAACTAATGTTTCATGCTCTTTCAAGAAAGGATAAGTAACATTTAGAGAAACTTTAAATCTGTAGGCAATTAGAAAAAAATGGTAAACTCTTTAATACTCAAGCAATATAATTTGCTGAAAGTTTAAGACAAGATACTGAAACTAGTAGTTATTGTAGTTATTGAGCAACTACTTAGTCAACATTTTAACAAATGACTTCAAATGAATCATTTCTTGTGAAATAATGTGATTTAACTTGGACTGAATTTATTCCCTTCCCCCCGTTTTTGCTCAACACCATAAAATTATTAGTCACATATGTAATAATACACCTCTTCTTTTGCCTCATTTATAAAAAATATCTTTCCTTTTTAATATCCAGGGATTTTAATATAGCATGTTGATTCAGAAAATATTGATTAGTTATTTCTTACTGTTCTTATTTTCTTTGCATTATTCTTGGTAGTGGTCATTCAAAAATAATTAAATTCAATCATATCCTTGATCAACTAGCTGTCTATCAAGCCTAGTAAGACCTATGTGCATAACTAAACACAAGGGTTAAAAAAATGACAAACACCCAAGAAAAGTGCAAATCAAGTTAAGAATAAATATCTTACATCTCCATGTGCTTGTTACAAGACTTTGAATCCTCCTGCATTCCTAACACAGTCTTGCATACAGAACATGGTTAATTAATGTCAACTTAAAAGATGAACTGTCTGTGACATTGTTTTGTAAACCTATATTCACTTAATAGCATTCTTTTTATACAAGTGAGACCTTCTATCCTTATCTTGGAGTCTAATTTCTGATTTGATTTCAAGGTTCATTTTACTAAATCTTATCTTACTGTCCTGTTTACCCAAATCTTTAAATTTCATGGAATGTGACTGCCTCTACTATATTAGTTTTCTCAACTAACAAAAAGTTTTTGAGGAATCACAGGTCTGAGGAATCTCAGAGCTCATGAGGTCTTTCTTGCCTCTCTTGGGTCCAATTCATTGCAAAAGGAGAGAAATAAATGATTATCAAAGCTTTGGAGAAGCAAGTAACATTAACTCTTGAAAACAACTATACTATACTAACTATACTATTGTTCATTTTAAAGCATTTCTAAATGTAGTCAGCTTTTGATAGATTTGTTTTCAAAGATTGAGTTTTCTTCCTCTTCACTAATTAAATTTCCCTAAAGGACTCAAAATTGAGTAAAATTGACTTTCTTTTGATCTTGTGAATGATTGAGGTAAAATGAAAGCATAAATGATTTCTAAGGAACCTGGCCCCTCTAAAGACTATTTAATATTCAATTATAGGGTCTATATTGGTCATGATGCCAGTTACTTTATTGTCAACACTTTTTCAACTCTCAGCCATCTCTATTACATTCAGTAAAGAACTTTCCATCACTGGTTTAATTTTCAGAAGTTTTACTTATGCCCCATTGGAAGATACCTGGTTGCATTTTAAAGGAAAAGGATACAGTAGAGTAAAAAGGAAGCAAAAAAGATAGTCCCACTAACCCTCTATATTCTAGCAGTTTGACTGACTCTTCTGAGTTTTTCTTGCCATTGAGTCATTGCACATACAAAATTATGAAACTTTAATTTCTTTAGAGGCTTGTTATATTAGAAAAATTGTTCCAAAGAAAGCAACAATCATGACATAAGCACATCTGGCTCTTGCAAATTATTCTTTATTAAGCTTTCATTTAATTACATGTGCTGAAAGGTCTGTTTTTGATTACTGAAATTTTTTTTATTTGTCCATCTGAATGATAGTAATGCTGGAAATTACATACAAACCACCTGTTTTTTCTCCCCTACTAATAAGGCAAAGTTTGAGCTATTTTCTCTATGGTTGATGAACTAGGAAGTTTTCCATTTATTATGATGACTGTCAGCTAATGGCTTAATCTTGATGACAAGAAAAAAAAAGAAAATATTTGAATGGAGTTTTCAAGCATTAAATAGTTGAAGATAGTATCTGAATTCTGGTTAACCATAGCAGATTATCCTATTCATTTATTGCCAATTTCACTTCAATTGCAACAAATAGACAATGAAAGATTTAACTAGGAAAAAGAAGCTTTCTTGGCCACAAATATGGCAATATTCTCTCGAGAATTATGTTATATGCTACTTAGAACTAAGGCCCTGAGGAAAGAATGACTGCCAGTGGGTCTCAGAAATCTTGTCAGCAATAATCCCATCTTCCAGAGGGATCAGCATCCCCAGAGAAACTTGGTCAGAAATGATATAAACAATGTGATTCTTCCAGGAATCCCTAAGAAAGTTCAGATTAATTTCTTAATTCATGAATATTAAAATTACAAGAACAGACATACTGACACTTAAAGAACTTTAATAAGGATTTTTGTGGGACAGTAGAAATAATTCTTAGACACCCGTTTAGACAAGTTCCTTTTTGTACATTTGAGGAAACTGAGTTCTAGAGCCATCAAGTTCTTTGTTCAGTGTCATAAAGTTATTGCTAGAAGAATCAGTACTCTTTCTTTCTGTCATGTTATTTGGTCTCACTTTCATCTTTAAAAAAAAATGGAGAGTTACAAGGCTGTTGGAGAAATAGTTACCTAACAATACGGTAAGTTTTTTTTTTTTTTTTTAACTCCATTTCAGCTGCATTTAAAGAGATAATGTTTGTCTTCCCTGTTTTGCAGCAGCTCTATGCCGCTCAGCTGGCCAGCATGCAGGTGTCACCTGGAGCAAAGATGCCATCAACTCCACAGCCACCAAACACAGCAGGGGCAGTCTCACCTACTGGGATAAAAAATGAAAAGAGAGGGACCAGCCCTGTAACTCAAGTTAAGGTACTTGCTTTGCAGGATTGTGGAAACGGTTTGGAAAATAGCTTCACAAGAAAGTAGTGAACCAGGCTGTGTTGGGAATAAACAGCAGGAAACGTAGCGACATAAAGGAACCTCAAAGTGCTCCTCTTTATGGTAAATTTCATGATTGAGCACTGAGAAACAGGTGTTTCCCTTTTGATAACAATAGTGCCGTATTGTGAGATCTTTACCTAAATCTGCAAACTCACTTCTCAGGAGTTTTTCCCCTTTAGATTCTAGTTTTCATTTTTTAATGTTCATTGGCATGAATGGCCATGGTTTTATTGCTAGTCTTTGTCATAGACTTGTGACACTTCTCTCAAAGTTCTTTAAACAGGTGGGGAACCAACTTAGAGCAGCAGAGAAGGATTGTCAAAACTTAGGATTTAAAAAACAGGGAAAAGAACCTAATACTGGACTCTAGTTCTTTGATAAGTTGATAAAGTTCTCTCCTTCAAAAACAGTTATAAATGTGAACTCTGAGGAATGAATGATATCATTATCTAATCATGCTTTATTAGTTGTAATAAGATACTCTCTCATATTTTGACTAGTGTATTAATAGATGTCTTTCCTCACTGATTTTTGTGCCTGAAAACTGGGGAGCAAGGAAGTACTGAGTGATAGAGGGAAATTGATTATCAACTTTGTGCCCTGTAGCACATAGATGCTACTATAGATGGTTCTAATTGGTTTTTATGATTACCTTTGGTTCCTGCATCAAATTAACAAATTCAAACAGTTCAGCACAGCAGTTCTTTTGTATAATGACTTATCTATTTATAAGGCTGTGCTAGGCACAGATGTATTATCATTATGTACCCAGAGTACTGCATTTGAAGAAAATTTGCAATTATTAGATCTTCACATGGAAACATCTGAAGCTAATAAAATGGCATTGAATGCCACAAAAAATCCCTGAAATTGGTTATTTTCTAAAATTTGCACATAGAAATTTTGAGATTTCAGAAAGTTGTTTAAGAAATATGAATCCCAAATGCCAAAAAAAGGAAGAGAGTTCTTCCTGTGTTCTACCCAAAGGAATTAATTTAATGCCATCTATACTTTTAAAGTCTCCAAAGAAATAAATTTATGCTCTGTTATTAAAATATGGCAATGTAGAAAGATGACAATAGGCAGTTTACATTTATTAAGATAGCATTACTATGGAAACAGATTACCCATTTTATATTCCAAGAGTTTCTGTTTGTGAATAAGAGTCAGAACAACAACTCAAACCAAAGCACTTTATAATTGTAGTGGCTGGCAGATAAATATGTCAAACATCAGTGACTTGAACTATTGAATATTAGATATTTAAATATGAAGAAGTCATCTTATAAGTGAGTTTGCCAAATGGAACTTCCCCAAACCAAGCCTTTACTGGATGAATAAAATGTTCCCTGGTTAAATTCAAGTTTATATCTGTTTTTACCATTCCAACTTTGTGGGCCAACTGAATTTTATTACTCACTTGACCACATGCAAATTTTCTGGGAGTTTTCTATATAATTTCACTTGACTACAATTTATGCTAATAACAAAGGAAACATTCCTTACAAATATTAGATTGTTTATTGTGTGTTGGTAAAAATACATAGACCAAGACAAGGCAAAAGTTTTAAATTAAAAAGAAAAAGCTCCTACTGCCTATTGAAGAAGTTCTGAAAAAATCTCATAATTTGCTAATTGAATGAATTATGTCATGAAAATACTCCCTGTTTCTAACTATAGTCTTTGCTTTCCCTCTGACCACATTATACACAGCACAGCTTGCTGAAAGTAACAAAAATAAACATATATGAGCTTATTTATTTTTTGCCCAGAATTTTTTCTGCTGTAATTGTCAACATCAGAAGGCAGAATGTTTCTGCTCACATTTAGTTTCATCACTTTCATTAGCTATGTCACCTTGGGCAATTTACTTACTTCCTTAAACTTCAGTTTTTTTCTCTGTTAAATAGGAGTTATTATTATGGGTCTTAAATAAGATGATGCATTCTCTAATATAAAAGTATTCCATAAATGTTAGTAAAGTAATAATGATAATGATCTGATGGCAATAAAGAAGGTGGTGGTGGTGGTAATCATAGTTGTGATTGAAGCATTTAATTGGGTATGGAGGGAGATCCTAACTAAATACCTAGAGGATTTCCATTTACTACCATGATGGAGGAACATGGATCAGACCTTACTCTCCCAGCTTAAACAACTAAAACACAGGGCAAATATATGAAACAACAGAACAGAGATCCCCGAGAGAAGAGAAAGAAGAGATATAAGCACTGCAGCTGTAATAGCTTTCTTTTTAGAGGTAGCTTCCAGACAATAGTACAGGGAGGGATATCCCCCATAGCAGGCTCCCTAAGTAAAGAGATATTCTCAAACAACTATTTTCTCTGATTAGTAGAAAGGAGGCCTGGAATTTGAAGTCCAGTCAACTCATATTCAAATTATGTCCCTCCATGTATGGTATTGTCAAGTGATTTTATCATTCTGACCCCTATTTCTTCCTTTGATAATTAATAAATCAATAAATTTAGAATAGTATTGTTTAACCTTGATAGTCAAATTAGTTGACATGTGTGAAAATATCTAGCACAATGCTCTGTGTACAGTCTCCTCTGTACATGTTACTTTTCTCTTTCTGATCCTCCTAAGTTAATATTTTCTGGTATCCCTTATTTTCTCCTCTTAAACAATGACTACTAGTATTAGAAGAAACCTTAGGGATCAGATGGAATCAGACCCTCTTTTTTCACAGATAAAGAAATTGAATCCCAGAGAGTCTCATGCTTACTATGGGGACCAAGTTCTGTTACCAATGTCTGTTGTGTGTTTAAAGCAGTGACATGAAAAGCAAATTCACTGTGCCTCCTCGGAAGCAAACAGGAGTTAGCATTTGTTGATCATTTTATTTTAGAATACAATAATGCAGATCTTAAAACTGAACATTAAAATGAATCCACTCAGATTGCAACTAAATTTCTACCATGATGGAAGTGTTACGGACATTTTGTGGTCAGATAAATGAGGCAAAATAAAGACAAGGAGCTTAGCTTTCAAGTTCCTGGCAAACCTACAGTTGCAAACCAGATATTTGAATACTGTGCTCAGTATAGAAGAAGTACAGGCATCTTAAAATAGACATTCTGTAAATATAGGTAGTAAAGAATATAAAGAAACATCTCTTTAGACATGAAAAATAAATTGCATATAGCTTGGTATGTAAAATATAATTATAATGTGTACTTTCTCTTTGCAAAAATTAATTTTAAACATGAGTAGAGACCAGAATATAGACCATGAAGAGTGCCCACACCCAGAAAGCCACATAGAAGCCATGCTGTGGCGTGTGGCTCCCTGGGCAAAGGCCCAGGAGATCAGAAGAGGGTTTTCCATGTTTCCATTTTTAAAGTACTTGCAATTGTTTGATTTAAAATATGTATTAAAAAAATTAGCTGCAGAGCCTATTTACAGTTTCAGGAACTTTTCACAGAGAATAACACAAAAGCACTACAGAGCTGCTGAAATTTTAAATAATTCTTTGTAAATGCCCTAGGTTAATTTAGATCCCTGAAAACACATTAGGAAATTAAGCTGTAATGTGAGCTAATTCAGATTTTAATTTGGCAAAAAGAATGATCCAACTACACAGTTAATGTAAATAGAAGCATAACACAGGGAAATTAATGAGGTTTCCTTCCGATGAATCTTCAAGGAGGTAGATAATTAGCTTCTTTTGTTATTATTGTAGAAGAATGTGGCATTGTCTCTGAGGTGTAAAATAACTGTGGCTTACTAAGTGATAATGTGCTTCATTTGTCTTTTTTTTAATAATTATTTATGTTAAACTCTTGTAGGATGAAGCAGCAGCACAGCCGCTGAATCTCTCATCCCGACCCAAGACAGCTGAGCCTGTAAAGTCCCCAACATCTCCCACCCAGAGCCTCTTCCCACCTAGCAAAACCAGCCCTATAAATCTGCCAAACAAAAGCAGCATCCCCAGCCCCATTGGCGGAAGCTTGGGAAGAGGATCCTCATTAGGTAAATGGAAAGGCCAACACCAGGAAGAGACTTATGAATTAGGTAAAAGAAAATGAACCTGTGTCGTGATGACTGATCTTATTTCCATAGTATTGCTTAGTCTGAGAAAATACAGTAAAAGTAAATAAAATAAAATAAAATAAAATAAAAGTAAAATCATTTCTTCTGAAACAACCCAATTTTGTGTCTTGGGTGATTAGAAATTTTGTAAAAGTTCATACTATAAACCCTACTGGGATGAATTCTTTAAAGGAGGATGATGTGTTAGAACCAGGAAATCAGAGATATAAAAATTTCTGTGTTTGGTCAGTGTTTTGCCACTGAAGTAACTATAGGCAAACAAAAGTGACCGTCCATGAGCCTAAAACCAACTGCATAGCTGCCTGCCAAAAGTTCAAAATTTCTTTAAATTTTTATATTTTTAAAATGTATATGAATTTTACATTTATCTCATATTAGTTTGCATTAAAACAAATATGAATGGCACTCTTAATAACTATGATGAAATAAAATTAATATCTAGTAAGATATGTCATAATGATTCTCTGATTTCTAATACCCTCTGGTATATTGTCAGTTATCTTTAAGACTATTCATATTCCGGTATGAGAAGAACAGAGGAAAAACATGTGCTTTGGCATCAGAGAGACTTGGACTGAGAACCTTCACTTATGCAATATGTTGACCCTGGGAAAGTTACTTAATATTTTTTAACTCAGTTTCCCAAACTCTGAAAGGAGAATGTTATTACCTAGCTCATTGATTGTTAAGAGGATTAAAAGAGAAAAAGGCATATGAAATGCCTAACACAGTGCATATAAAATGCTTAACCTAACATCTAGAAGGTCCACAATTTAAAAAGGTATACAAGTAAAATGAAACAATAAATATGAAAGTGCTTGTCAGTAGCAGAGTGCTAATAAGTTCTTACCATTATTGTTGCTCTACTCTTTGCCTCTTAATTTTCAAATACAGACACAGGACCGCAAAAGGATTCAGTACTAGAACCAGCATTTCTTCCCCATATTGTCTTCCTTGCATTATTGAGTTCTAGAGTCTAAAACACCTACGATAATAAGTAAAATAATGTGCAAATGTAGCCACTTATCGTTTAAAACAGTTTTGCCTATCTTACTTCATTTTTCACAGTAATCTTATGAATTAAATGATACATTATTATTATTATCCTCATTGTATTGTGAAGTAAATTATATTCTTATAGATAAAATTACTTGCTCACAGCCATAGAGCAGAACCAAGACTAGAATCTAGGTTTTTATATGTATTTTTGGGAATTCACAGTTGGAGTGTTTGCTGAAATGTGCTGAGTCTAAGTGAATCTTCTAATGGTGAGATGTAAATTTTCCTCAGTGAAATCTGGGATATTAGGATTCATCCAACATCCTATCCTCATTTTGAGTTAGGACACCACTTTCAGGGGCCCACAAGGTTTCACTCCAAGTCCATGGTATCCCTGTGGAGGAGAGAAATGAATTATTTCCAGCATGTAACTATGATTGCTGGGTTGTTAGAAGTTGTGAGATGAGAAAAAAACAATGAGGATAAATAATAGACTAATAAACTTGATCTTGAGATGGATCTCCTCTAACCCACTTCTGAATTTTGTTTGGTAAACATTTGTTTGTTATACTGAGCATCAAAAGGGGTAAAAATGACTGTGTCCCAGGTCCTGCTCTTACAGAGTCAGGCAGAAATGGACTGATGTTATAACATTCTTGTCCAGACAAATATTGGATTTAAATGCATAGGAATGGGGTTATTTTGATGCAAAAAGTCATATAAAAGTTTAATAATGAACTCCTGCATACCTTTTGTGTATATGTGAGAGATCCAGCATGATAAGTAACTCCCCCAGGTAGCTCTAGATGCCATCTTAAGCAGGTAAGATAGGGAGTTGGGAGAAGAAAGGAGAAATTTAGTTAGGGAGTTAATCAGGAAAATAAAGGAATACACATTTAAGATTTCCTTGTCCAAGGAAAAGAAATAAGGAGGTTAGGTCTTCCTGAGAGAATTTTACAATAAGTATCAAAAGTAACTTCCATCCAGCCTTCAGAACCCTTCTCATGAAATACACCTCTTGCCAAAAAGACATATTTTGGGGTGGTAGATTTTTGCTCTCTTACAGTTCTGTCTTTGGAATTTCTCAAGAAGTTCCACAATTTAGAAATTGAGTTTTTCATTTATTTCATAAAACCTGGCTCTCAGTCCTGAGAATAGATGAGTCCAAAAAAGCACTTGTGTCCAATTTCTGGAGACATTGTTGTGTAAGCAGTAAGAAGCATAGAAGTGTTTTGTTTTTAATTATAACAGCTCTAGAGTAAAACATACAGGTTTTTAAAACCTGATTGATCACTGGTTTACAAGATACAGGATTTTTATATCATAAAATGTGATTGACTTTTTAAAAATTTTCCAGAGAACCTTGGGAATTTTTTCTAAACTCAATTGCTTATGCACAAGCATTGCACACTCATAGACATGCAATGTGAGCTTGACTGTAGTCCAGTTTTCTCTGTTCTATCTGTATATGTGAGATGTACACACACACACATGCACACGCTAAGCAGTGCTCATACCAGGCTAGAAACAAGTGGATCATGTTCAACTTTACCACAACAGCTGAAATCTATCAGTTAGCCTTATCTCTGTCTAAAATTGGAAAAGCTTGCCTAAAGTATTAATTGAACCTCTAGCAAAAATCAAGATATGGAGGAAAATTAGTCAATTTCATTTTGAATTTTTCCCCTCTGTGTTGCATGGAATATAACGAAGATAAATATTTATTCTTGTATTATTTGAAGCTTTGCTTTTATCTGGAAACCATTCCTAACATAAGCCCCACTTTCACAAAATGAGAACAGTGGGTGTTCCCGTTGGGAGTAGGGAATGGGTTGTCATTCTCTTGGTAAATAACTGAGGCAGCATGATGAGTAGAATGCTTCATTAACCAGCCAGTGATTGGGGAATGGAGAGTGTGGTGTATGACTCACCGCCCCCTCTCTCCTGCAGTGGCCATACAAACTCAGACACAGATGTCACTAAAGTACACATGTAGCCTCACAGATTTTTTTCTGCTAGGTCAGAAACAGCTTTCTTGCAGCAGCACACCAAATATAGTGGGTAACCTGAGCAGTTATCTCTGAAACCCTCTCCACTGTCCCACCACTCATTATTAAATATAGCCACAACAAATACAAATACACAATTGGAATCTAAGAAATGTCATCTGTGTGGAGGTGGAGTGATAGAACCCTGATAAACTCAAGTATCTGGATTATCTTCATCTTCCAAGTGCTAAAGAATCCTGTACAGCTTGGTTTCTTTGGTTTTCTGTGGTCTTTGCATAATATTTCAGTTTTCTGAATAGCAAAAGTACCCTCACCTTTTTTTTGAGAATGCAGCATTCTACAGGGGAATGGATAGTAGTAGTGTTTTTTGAGTCTAACCTCACCAGGCTCTCACAGTGCTTTCTGTGTATGCAGATATCCTATCCAGTCTCAACTCCCCTGCCCTATTTGGGGATCAGGACACAGTGATGAAAGCTATTCAGGAGGCTCGGAAGATGCGAGAACAGATCCAGCGGGAGCAGCAGCAGCAGCAGCCACATGGTGTTGATGGGAAACTGTCCTCCATGAATAATATGGGGCTGAACAACTGCAGGAATGAAAAGGTAAGACTTGCTTCTCTGTCACTGGCTCTGCTAGACCTATTGGCTCATTTTCATCCAACTCTTTTAAGACTCCCAACCATTAATTTGCATCCAAGGAATTGGGCTTCTAGCTTGAGAGTTGTCTTGTATTACATTCAAGCATTATTACTGATTAACACATAGACTTCCACTTAGTGTGGGTTATTCCCAGGTACCCAACTTGCCTGCCTTTTGGTGTCTTTCTGCCCCATTCCAAAAGATTTAGAAATATTTTATAATAAAGCTGCAATATGATGTTTTTAGAAAATTAAAATATTAAAAAAGAAAGAAGATATATGCTCACAATGAAGGCCAATATGTTATTGTGACTCACCATTGAATTTATTACTAAGCTTCCAGGGTAAAAAATAATGGAAAATAACTTATGAAATTCATTCATTTACGTTTTATTTTTGAGTCATCAAATTAGTTATTCGGAGCTTATTCTATAATAGACACTATTCTAGGCACTGGAGATACAGCGGTGAACCAATCATGCAAAATCCCTGCTTTCATGGAGCTTACATTCCAGTAGGGGAATACAAGCAATGAAAAAAATAAATGATTGTCAGTTTTGTTGGGAGATAAATGCATACGGTGAGGAAAATAGCATAAAATTGAGGGAATAAAGATTTATGGGGTTGTAATTTTAAATGGGATAGCAAGGGCTCTCTGAGGAAGTGGCTCTGAGTCACGATCTGAATGAAGCAGTGGTGCAGGTTATGTGAAAAGTAGGAGGAGCAGTATCCCGGCAGCAGGAACAATAAATGTGGAGCCCCTTCCAATGCAAGAACATCAGCATGAAGGCCCGTGTAGCTCCAGTAGGACCAGAGAAGGAAAAGCTGTAGGACTCAAAGTGATAACCTAGGGCAGGCATGTTGACCTAGGAGCTCCTTGAAAGGCTTTGCATTTTACTCTCAGCATGATAGGAATCCCTGGATGGGTTTTCATCCAGGGCATTGGTATGATCCGACTTACGTATAAAAGGTTCATTCTGCCTAATGTGTGAGTCAACTGTAGGAGGTTAATAGAAACAGGGTATTATAACACATTGGGTAAAAAATTCTGATTACCTAATGAATGACTGAAATATGTCACTTACAGAAAACAGATGAAATTATTTTCTAGCTGTAAATTCTGTTTTTGTTTTTAACATGGCACTATATAGGATCACATGAGTGGAATAATGGGCAGTGTCCTTGGCAACAGAGTTCATTTTTTTTTAAAGATTTATTTATTTATACAAGCACAGGGTACAGTCAGAAGTGCAGGAGGGTGAGAGAATTCACCAGAGCCAGAGCAGGGAACAGAACAGGCAGACTGACGAAGTACACTGCTGAGGGGAGCAGCGGGCGCAGCAGGAGAGATCTGCATGCCATGTGGGACCCTCAGCCGGTGGCTGGGGATTGAACCAGTGCTGCAGAGGCTGCGGGCAGCTTTGCAACCCAACGCTCAACCGCTGTGCCACCGGGGAGGCCCCGAGTTAATTTTTAAAACTTTACTTCCATTCATATGTTTTATTCAGTAAAGCCAGAGAATATAATCCATTGACATTAGAACCAGGAACCTCCTCTTTGCTTACATCCTTTTAATTCTAACATGAATGCTTTGGTAGAGACTCCATTTCTTCTAAAACTTGTAGTTTTCCATTTACTGGAAGGAGTTTTGAACTAGCACATGGTAAAAGTCATAAGAGAAGTATGTGGTCATGTCTGCTATTATTTGAATTTATATATGATTATACAGCCATAACCAGAGTATTGTTTCCCTGTCCATCCATTTCACAATGAGCAATGATATCACACTCTTGGAATTTGGGTGTATTCATTTTGTAACAAATGAACACAATCTGGGAAATTAATTTTCTTACAGTTCTGGAGGCTAGTCTAAAATCAAGGTGTTGAAGGCCCATGCTCCTTCTGAAGACTAGAGAAGCATCCTTTCTTGCCTCCTCCCAGCTTCTGTGTGATATTTGGCAAGTTGATTAAACTCTCTGAATCTCAATTTGTTCACCTATAATATGAAGGTAGCAATCTAGGTTACAATGAAGTCAGATATATGTGAATATATATGCCTACAGAGTAGGCATTGTCTTATTTTTCCCATAACTATGTGACTTTGAATATACTGATTCATACACTATGTGTGTGTGCACACACATACACACAATTTTGTCACAGATCTGAGATTCTTCACAATAATGGAAAGGTCAGCAGAAGGAGACAGAGTAGGTTTTTCTATTGGCATATTAGCCAACTCACGTAAACTCCTTTCCAATTGAGTTGCTACACAAATCTATGGAAACTTCGAGTTTTTGGTGTTAGATCAGGGTTTCCCAACCTCAAAGTTATTGACATATTTGGCCAGATAATCCTTTGTCCTGGGTAGCTATCTGGCTTCTATTCATAAATATCTCTAAATATTGCCAAATGTCCCCTAGTGGGGGAGGGAGGAGAAAATTGCCTCTAGTTGAAAACCACTGGGCTAAATAAAAAGTATATAGAAGTATATATTTCAGACATTTCATTCCACAACAACAAATTATCTAATTTAAATAACAGTACTTATAATTAAATTATAAATAATTATTTGCCTTTGATTATTGTAGTAAATGAAATATTTCATTGAAAAATGCATCTAGAAATTTTGTTTGGAATGTTAACATATGGAATGCTTAAAACAATGTTTATATGATATTTAGTTTTGAGGGATAATGAAAAATAAATCCAGTTCCCTCTGTCATAATAAGCAACATCCTAATCAGTGGGCACTAAACTAGTGGTAAATTGATATTGGATATACTTGGCTTCCAGCATTGAGTCACTCTGTGACCCTATATTGTTGAATTTTGTATCATGCTATTGTCTCTGTAGATTAGTTTATTGGAGTTAAATTTTGGACACTGTAAAAGAAATATGCAATGGAAAAGTTCTCTCTATTCAGGGATGTGCTTACAAGCTCTCTTTAACATGATCTCCCTCCCAATAATATCTCTGTTTTGAATACATATTTTGTTCTGGAGTTTTTGTTTGGTTTCTAGAACTAAGATCTATCCTCATGTGTTAAGTTAGTTGCAATCAGAAGAACAAATTAAAGAAACTGTTAAAGGACTCCTCTGATGGTTGCTTTGGATTTCTTATAATAAAAATCTTCATCCTAATTTCATGATGTTTTGTAGGATAGTACTTCTGAGGATCAGATCTTTTTTCTGAGGTGAAGGAGAATGAATATATAATGTCTAGTAAGATGGGTAAAATGGATTGTGACAAATTCAACTGTCTTTAAAATTAACTACTGTGGCAATTTCAAAAATTTAAGAATTTAAGAAAACCAAGGTTTTCTTAAATATAAATATCTATAAATAAGATTTTAAATTTGTTCTTTGTAATGCATAATACAGTTTTATTTTATTTTATTTTAAAGATTTATTTATTTCTACAAAACTGGGGTACAGGCCAGATGCATGAGAGGGTGAGAGGATTCACCAGAGACAGAGTGGGGAACAGAACAGGCAGACTGACAAAATACACTGCTGAGGGGAGCAGTGGGCGAGACAGGACAGGTCTGCTGTACCATGTGGGATTCTCACTGGCCGGCCGGCCAGGATTGAACCTGCACTGCAGAGGCAGGTTCACAGACAGCTTCACAGTGTGGCACTCAACCGCCTGTGCCACCAGGGAGGTCCCATAATACAGTTTTAGAGAATTTTTTAGTGTTACTGTTATAAAAACTTCTATTAAGCATACCTTATCATTATCTTATTAGGATAAATTTTACAAAAGAGCATCTCACAGATTTGGGTTTCTTGAGACGTGAACTATGAGATGAGATTATTAAACAGGTTTACTGTGGGTTCTTTCTGATTGCCATCTGAGGGACAGAAACGACAAAAGAATTGGATTGCAGTATAGTCTCAACCAGGGCTTCAAAACCACCATGGCTATTCAGAATTGCCCTCACCTGGATGATCCCCATCATGAGTTCTTACATACATGTGTCAATCACTTATTGGATGAGGGCTATCCTGGAAAGTGGACAAGACTTTGGGTGCTGAGGCAGTGTTGAAGAGGTAGTGCTGAAGAGGGCCAGTGACTGAGGGCTACTGATATATGCTGTTGCCAAGGACAAAAATCTTTCTGTTTTAAAGAGGGATCTGAGCAGTACATCACAATGTCTAGTATACAGTGTGACATTTACTAACATTAGTTGGATATAAAACATGACCTGTACGTATCATAAATGTGGGCTTTTACCACGCAGACACAGGGTGCTTGTATCTTTATAACACATACAAGTTGCATATATATATCCATATGAATACATATTTATTTTACCTAGGACATATTTCACTTTATTGGGTAAATCCTTACTTTGGCATTTTAAAATCAAACAGTGTTGACTTGATCAGCCAGAACGGCACCAATAGAGTTGTTCTGGTTGGCTGTGTCACCGGATATTTAGGGTCTGTTAAATATATAGATTATGGGGACAATAGACTGTAACGGCGCCTTAGGAAAGTTATGCTCCATAATTTCAACATAGCTTCTATGCATGGATTGTGAGTGTCCTGCCAGCAGAGGTCTAGGTTACTGCCCTGGGTTTTAGCTTTCTATACCAAGAACACCAGTCATCTCCATTGCAAGTACCAGTGCAATTAGATCATATTATGGGCTAATTGCTTCCCAAATTTTGTTGCTTTGACATTTCTAAGATAGAAAGTATTTTAGTCATGACAATACACAGCAGAATTTTAAACAGGCTGCTTCTAAATGTCCTTAGAGCTAAGCTAAGGGCATCTGGCTAGAATAAAGGCAAGCCAGAGGGAGCCTTTTTAGTGTTAAAGTATGTTCTGTAGTTTTCTGATCTACTTAATGTTGGGATGCAGATTTGCTGATTGCTTAGAGTCCTTACCTCCATAGGTATTATGTAACTTGGGAATCTGGTTCTTTGTCCCTCTTAATAATTTTTATGAACCAGTAGAG